CAGTTTGTTGTTTGCAGCACACAAAAAAAAAGCTGTACTTTAAGATGATTTGGTGTATTTGCATCTGTTTGTTGTTCTTCTTCTATCTGTTGAATGAAGCTGCAGCAGAAGTGTCTTCATAGTGTACTTTCCAAGCATTTCCGCTGTCTGTTTCACTGCAAGCTTGGTTTTTGGTCGGGATAGCTGCAAGATCTCCGTCTAAGCTCATTTGCTGGACTTCTGCTGATGATAGTATCTTTATGTTTTGCACGCAGTTCACAAACTCTCTGGGGAAAAATTAAACAGACGAGAATTATCAGAATGTTGAAATCTTTTGATTGGTTAAGTGCTTATTGTTGGTTTGGAACTTACTCCCAAGGATCATCACCAACGAGTAATATATCGTTTTCGTGATCTGTGTAGACGAGTTTCCAGTCAGAGGTTTGTGGATCTTCGAGTTGTCCTTCGATGCCAAACATTCTTGCTAAGTCATGCCTGAGTTCATCATAGCCGCTATAACGAGTAACGTCAATGGATCTTCCTACCGACCCTCGTTTTTGAACCTTCAAGGAGTTAATAACTTTTACGCTTTAACACTCGGAAATTAAGTTGCAATAAGTTTATAGCTTTGTTTGAGGAAGATAATGATCTCTAACCTTTGTATATGTCCGCATTCGTTGCGCTTGATTGGGCCAGAGTCCACCATTCATGATGCCGGAATCATTGATGCCACCAATCTCATTTGAACCTCCTGACTTAAAGGGAATACTGGGAATACCAAATGACTGAGAACTGATTGCAGCACTGGATAGCTCGGTCTCGATGTCTCTTGGTGCGTTGCCATAGTTTGGAACCAAGTTATGAAAGTCCTTTTGAGAATAGAGAGCATCCGAAGTTACAGCTTCGAGATTACCAGCGAAAGCTAAGTTGTTTCTTGGATGATGAGATTGGCAATCTCCATCAAAACCAAATGATGGTAGCGGGAAAGTCTGTTGCTGCTGTGCAGGGCCAACAACATCAGGACAATACGTCGTTCCCGCTGTGGATACATCGATTTGATCTGTTACAGCGCCTTTAAACTTGAACTGTTCAGCACCACTCTTTAAATTCACCGTGCCTTGATTGATCCGGCTCTCGGTTTTTGTATAAAGCTCTTGGACTGGATTGCTTCCACGGTCAAAGACTGAATCAGATGCAGACACAATTACTGCTTGTCCTTGTTGATTTCTACTCAGGAAGTTCGTTGGTGAAACATTATCATGTCCGGTGTTATTGGCAGAAGGCGAGGTTGAACAAGAAGGAGCTTCTCCATCTGTGTGACCGGAATGTGATCTTCCAGCGGCTACAAGAGGCTTATTATTCATATTTCCTTGTGGCTGATGAGTCACCTGAATTTGTGGAGGCTGCATGAAAGTTGAAGCTGAGAAGCTGTTATTACCATGAGCCAAGGGCTGTTGATTCTGAGACGACAGAAGTTGTTGCAGTTGATGGCTTTGTGTCTGCTGCAACGCCGATAACTGTGGCTGCAAGGACGAGCTTACTGGAGGAATTGA